TGGTCACTGCGTCCTTGGCCACTTCGGATCAGATTGACCCAATGCTTTAGATCCGTTATGGATACGTTCCAGTTTTCGGCGGTTGCATCTTAGCTTCTCTTAACTTTTTACTAACGTGTTGATCTGGTCAACGATTTCAAGCAAGTAACATCAGATGTAACATGATAATATCTGCACTGGCGTGTTTCATGGTTGTTGGTTAGACTAACCTATTGTCAGAACGTCTCTAGTTGAAAAGGTGTACTATTCGGGTCCTCAGCCAAAGCCTTTGCTAAAATATGATCCGGAAATATAGCGGGACCTGTTCCATAAGTAAGCTAACCGATACACGTGTAATGGCCACACTTTTGGCTCTGAGGTACATTAAGAGTATAACCAAAATCCCACTCAGCGTTCACCACGGGGAGGTGTACAGGAGTAGTCTATTTGCACAAAATTGAGCAGCAGCCCGTCAGCATTTTGTCAAGATCACTCCAATATACTACGCGGTGGGTTATAGACTGCCGCAATTTCAGCATCCTTGACAGCATCTGGTTCCGGATTAGCCTGTCATTGTGGCCTCCATACGACTGCCACAGGAGCCCTGCTCAAACAGAGGGACCATAGGTGGCTTGCGCTGCACCGACCAGAGTTTCATTCACAAACCAATTTCCAGTGTAAACCCGAAGAAATACGACCAGGCCACATGTGGATGTGGGCCGCTTTTCATCAACGGAGCCGGTCCACAATCCTCCAACATGCACAGTAGCAACACTCCTGTCTACCTATTTAGAGAATCTTGCGTACCAGTCTTACCCAAGGAGTGGCTGGGCCGTAGCCCGCTCTACACTGGGTGGAGCCACTCATTGATTCTAGCCCGGCCACGAAGCCCGGGCGCCCCGTCTCCTCCCCACCCCACCCCCCCAAGCAACGATGTTCAGTATCTTAGAGCCAGTAATCGAGGTGGAGGGTGTTATACAGGTAGGCGCTTTGTCGACATTCATAGCTGGCGCTGTCACACGGGGTTATAAAAAATCAACATAGGATTTAAGGTAAAGCAACAAGCAAAAGTGACACAGGATATGCAACCGAATCCCAGTATTGAACAAGCCAAATAAAGTGTAGAAACTTTATGCAGATTAAAAAAAATCTCCCATTAATTGTAAGTTGATTTAGCTCAACCTTGTTGAAGAAGCATCATGAATGCAAAAACAAGCACAGCATGGAGGCTTATAAATAAATATGGACTCAAAAGGCGAATATTTTGGGAATTACACTGTCAATTCATGCATACTCTTCGACCACATACAAGCAACAAACAAGGAATTCCAAAATTAACCTGAAACCAACTAGTGCTAAAGGGTTTTCCAATT